ACTACGACCATCGATGCCTGATTTCGCACCAGAGGAATACAAGAAACTTGCCGAGCGGTGTTGTGATGCTGATCCTGTTAAGCGCCTAGATGCAGAGGAACTTTTTTTTTATATCGACGAGCTATTGTAGTGGCGGATAATTCTGACGTATGGAATGCCGTTTATCATAATGATGTAAAACCCTTATCACGTCCCGAAAAGGAGAGTAAATACTCTAGCAAACTCTTACCTACTGGAGATCTACCTACACCGAGGAACAATTACGATTCAATTGCAGGTATGAAGAACTGTTACATTATGGTTTAAGACTTTTACAACTGTTAACATTGTCCATTATCTTACAATTTAGTAACTCTGAATGTTGAATAAAACTTGTAACTTGTTATTTATTTATGGCTTACACGAGTTTATTGTTATAACCTTCTTCCTATTAAATATGATAGTATTTATCTGTAGTTACTTGTAGGCAATAAAATTTCTACACCAAACCGTGTTTCAATGGCTAGTATGTCAATCGAATCGCACAAAGTGCAATGACGCGGAGCTGTAGTAGCAGCTTGGTAGACAAACGTGCATGCAGAAGACAACCAGACGCATTGAGTGAACAAGCGAACCTTTTTTAATACTCGGTATTACTTGTAAATGCCAAGTAGAAACTAGAAAGGTTTCAATCTAATTTTGATGTCAAATGGAGACATCCTGAAATTTAATCAATTGGACCTTTCTCATACAAAAGTGAGTAACTAAACTGTCGAGCCAACTACCGCGGGAGAGCGTTCGGTAATTGGTACTCTTTCAATCGAGGCTTGGCTAACCTCTACTCCCGTTTAAATCGTTAACACACAATTAGTGACCATTGCTGGCTTTAATTATACTCACAGTTCTCCAAATAACCAATCGGTATAACGCGGATTCTCGACAGTCAATTATGCTATATATGGCTATGTCTCTATCCTAAATCGATGGAATTAGTTCCGATAGTCTGTAGGATACAATAGAGGTTATATTGCACCAAAGTATACGCGTATTTTTAGTAACAATCGTGTTCCCCAATGTGTATCGTTTATTACATATACTTGATCTTTATTATTATGTCAACTCGTACATAAATTATATATAACATCTGGTTTATCTATCCAACTTGTGCAAACGTTGCTTGCGTACTGCTTCACAGGTAAATATTGATTAAACTATAATTTTACAAGAAGCGCATTTAACCTTATCTTTGTAAGAGTACGTTAACAATCACGTTTGTAGACATCCCGTGAGCACAAAACTTTATTGCTGGGATAATTTTTAGTGCATGCCAGCCCCTAAAAGTAGAACGATGTAAATTAAAGGAAGAAATTTTGCACGAAATAGATCACACTAATGTGTACATATATTGTTATCCACTAATTTACGGTTATAATAAATATTGATTTTCTGAAGAATGTTGAAACTTGCTCGTGACATGCTGGTCTCCTTGTTCGTGTAATAATTCTTACTTTTGAAACATATACAATTTTTAATCAAGCCTAAAAATATCAAGAATACGGCTGCAGTCTAATGTACTAAATACTTATATTTAGAGTCGTAACAAAGCATTAAGCTTACGACCCCAGGCCAGATGAGCACCACTGCCGTAAGCGGGACTAATAATAAATGCAAGTCGTTCAAAACAAGGTTTACTATAAATAAAGTGGGTTCGGCGTTATGTTATTACTAATATTTATTAATACGTAAAAATAAACAGCAAATCCGTGAAATTTATTAAATTGGGAGCATAATACATCCTATAATCCTATTATTGTATAGTAACCTGCCAAATTCGGTTTGATACATGCAATATTAATAGAATGCATCTCTCGTCTGCTCTGTAGATCCTCCACTTTTAGCAGGATCGCTACGATCAATTTCGTCATGGTAAAAACAACGGAATTATCACCAAAAAAAATATAGTAATAGTAATCGAATTTGAGGGGAATGTAGATCCGGAAAATGACAAATAGCTTACAGATCTCCCCGAACTATTCTTAGGGGAAGTTCTCGACGTATTGTTATTATGAGATACATGATGAAGTACCAATAAAGCGAACGGACCAGTATCCATTCGCAGTTAGCAAGATCGCGCTACAAGGCGCTTATTGTTCTCGTTAGCATCTTTGTCTTGCCGGTTATTTTTATTCCTAATATTTTTTTTCTTGCAAATATGGCTTTTTATAGTAAGCGCGACATTCATGACAGAGCTTGAATTCAAAGATATAAAAGGAGAGGCAAGTCGGTTTCCAAAATCTCAGTCAGCCAGACATTCATCTCAATTTTGCTCGTTTGCTACAAAGGCTCCAAAGAACCACAATCAAAACAACCATCAACGATCGAATAATATCATATATTTTTTCGCAATGAAGCTCTTACTTGTTTTCGTCATCCTCTCTGCATTGGCATACACCACCCTCTCTGCACCAGCCGACGGGTGTGCTGGTTTCCGCATCACATCGCCAACGGCTCCAGGACTCGTCTGGACTGAAGGCCAATGTTACTCTGTGTCTTATGATTTTGGGGCTAGCTCTGTCACAAGTGTCAATGAAGTCGACCTCTTTACTTCTGGAGGATCATTCGTGAAGAAACAATGGAGCGGATCTTTGGGACCAGGAACGGGCGATACCGGTTTATTTAATTTGGATGCAAATCATGTTACTGGCGACTATCACTTTGTGCTAAAGACAAAGACCTCTAGTGGTGCTGAATGTACATTCTCAAGCGTGAACTTTCACGTTGTCTTCAATCCAAACAGTCCACCAGCGCAATGCTGAAAGAGACATTTAATTCTATGTTATAATAATATGGATACTTTACTTTATGGACACCATAATAATTAGTCATTTTACTTAATAAAGCGTGACAGATTTCGTGTGCAATTTTTAATGTCCCGTCTATTTAGTGCAATTTGTATCTGTTTCACCGTGCAGTGCCAATCATCTAGGAAGCAAGCCTTCATTGCATCTCTTTCCAGATACGTATAAAGAATGTCTAAATTCATCGATTCAATCGTCATAGTCCATTAAAGTCATAACCGCGAGAAAAAGCAACAACGATAGTACACGAACAATGTTGTTTATATGCATTAAATTTAACGCACACTCAAAACCCCGTATGAAAAATCTTGAAGGAAACTTTTTTTTTTTGAATTTATTTTACATGTGTGTTACCTTGCCATTTAGATATCATTTTAACAATTTGATTCATGACGTTCTGCATAAAAAGAGTGTAAATAAGGGAAATCCGCGATTGAAATGCAAATTTTTTTGAAATAGTAACTGCTAACATTAGCAGCAACAGGAGACGGTCGGATACTTTACAGCTTTTGCTTAGACGCCTCCTCAACAAACGCAACACCTTTATCAATGCTCTTCTTGAGTTCAGGAATAGCCGCCCGAAGAAGATCTTGCTCGTATGTCGATAAATCCTCTAATGGCTGTATATTGCGGACACCGTAGAACTGTAGATAAGAAGATTACGTTATAAGAGAATGTGTAAACAAAAAAGAGATAGTGAATAATAAAATAGACGGTGTAATGATAAAATTCACGCATAGAGAAAATCTCAAATTTAATAATATGCAGGCCCCAGTTATCAATTAACAATGACCACGAATAAACTTACCCCTAATTCAATGTTTGAAGAGAAATAATCCAACCCATCAACAGTCGCCTTGAGTTGGTTACCACTATCAACGGCTCCAAGATAAACGTAAGCCGGTTCCACAATACCAGCAACACCATTTACAGTAGCATCCAAAACAGCCTTCGCAAATCGGGCCCCAGCGTGCGCCATCGAGAGTGTAGCAGATCCAGCACCATCCTTTGCTTTAACAACTTCGTCACCGCCTATTGTAGTAGAAATGTGTAGTAAGGCATGGGCTATCAAACTTGTAACAGGTCTTCTACGTCATCAATAACCAGATCCCCCATTCATTGAATTCTCTCAATCAATTACATAATGTCTCGCGATTCATAACATACCAAACTGAATCCGCTTTGTCAAGGCAGCAACTTGCTCATGAGTAAATTCATGCTTGGGCGTGATCTTGGACAAGAGAGGAATGATTGTCACTCCGCTATGTCCACCAACTACGGGGACTGTAACGTCCTTTGAAACAGCACCAGAAATCTCTGCTGTGAATGTCGATGCACGAACAACGTCAAGAGTAGTAACTCCAAAAAGACGTCTGGGATCAAAAACTCCATGTCTCTTTAGCACTTCGGCGACAATCGGTACTGTAGAGTTTACAGGATTGGAAATGACAAGTATAAAAGCTTGCGGTGCAAATTGAGCGATTGCAGTTGCCAAGCTACGGACAATGCCGGCGTTTATCTTGATTGTTTGTTTGAACGAAAGTGAAAGCGCCCAGTCAGTACATCGAAAAACGTGTTGTTCGGGTGTTTTGAGAATCCAACAATAAATAAAAGCAGAATCTCGTAATCTTTGATACTTTTCGCATCATACCTTGAATAAATCATCTCTTGTCATACCAGGCTTTCTAGGGATCCCGGCAGGAATCACAATAAGATGAGACCCAGTCACAGCATGCTCTAGACCATTATTATCCTTTTGCAAATAGCCCTTAACTTTCGCTGGTGTATTAATATGATCCAAGTCTGCCGCAACACCGGGAGTGTTTACAAGATCATACAACGCCAAATTGGTAACGGTAGTATTCAACTTAAGTAGGAGCGAGAGTGGTTGACCGATACCGCCTGAAGCACCGAGGACTGTTACTTTTACCATTGTGAATTCGTTGTCCTAGTTGCTATGAGAAAGAAGAGCTGTGTGGTATCCAAAAGGACTATTGAACGTAATATAGTGTATATATATATGCACTTCAAAACGATGATCTGATCTTTTTGATCTCTTTTTTTCCCAATAAAACATGACGCCACAGATTTCGGGGGAACTCGGTTTTGGGGCTCATTGCAGCGCTTCTGGTGGTTATTTAGGTCAGGCTATAATGAGAATGTTTTAGGAATCCTTATCATTATTTTGAAGATGACGGGATGTACCACTGAGAATTTATTAAATTCACACGAGACGGGAAAAGACGGTAATTGGAACACGTATTTTTACTATCTAATCTATTAGATCAAATATATCGAATCAAAGATATGTAAAATTGCTACGATTAATATTGAGTAATTGTGGATATTAACATCGTGTCTAGCTTCATTTTTAACTACTTTTGGACATGCTGACGAGTATCCATTTGTTACAGCCAAGACAAGCGGAAACACGAAAGATAACATTTATTTACGTTCATGTTAGATAGCCGCTAAGCCAGCTACTTATCTTCCGTCTGCTTCTCCGGGACATCTCGAAATCGTTAATGCATCCCTATGTGGCATAACAGTGTACAAGAACTGTCTAATCTTTACGTATAACAACATGTCAGACTAGCCCTTTATTATAACAAATGTTACATTGTATCATCGCTCCGTCTCTATGCTTTTCTTTCACGACACCTCTTTTGAATGGGATTTCGTAAGAATGCTTTAAAAGAGTGTTCTATGAACTTGGAGCGTGAACGAACATCCCCATCCATAAACGATAATAATCGTGCATTACATTTCGAATATGTGATAACCAAATTAAGTGTGCATTTGTTTGTGTAACACGTCGCAAGCGAGAAGATCGAGAGGGAAACTCGATGTAAATAAGATCATGGCTTGTGTGTAGTCAAATTACGGATTAGCGTTCTTTCATGTGGCCCAGTATACCTCCGAGTCTTGTCTTGGTTTGAATATCGTAATAGTGTAGTAAGCGACAAGCAGAGATCGACAAAAAACTTTTATGGTAACTTATGTGTGGGATTGATTATCGTTGCATAAATTACCCCCAAGTCTTTTACCATATCTGGATTTGATTTAATGTGTCTCCTCCAATCGATCATGGAGACCTGTCGTCTTATTTTCCCGCCTCACGTAGTCCCATATGACGGCAAAATGGGCGGTCCGATGTGCAAAGATGATGAAAGAAAATATATGTAAAAAATTTTGGCTATCCTTAAGTATTCTATATGAGTGAGCCGCAATGCTTCAGCTACAAGCATTTCTCGTTTTGGTTACCAGAACGGATGATCGGTGAAACAAATAAGATATATGAAAATGTATATAGTAATATTAAATTAGAATAAGACTTTTGTCCTGCAAAAAGCTAATACTAACTAAGTGACCCATACCTATAGTGATTAGGAAATATGTATATGTGATCATAAATCCCACTTGCTTGTTGTAAAATTACTGTTTATTACTTAAAAAAACGCGATTATTGGGAAGTGTTAATAATATTATTAAAAAGCTAGTTGCATCACTGGTAATATTAAAATTTACAGCAATAATGACTAATTATAAACTACATATTATGTGGCATTCACCTAATTACATTACTGGTTAAAATGCTTTAAGTTTTTGAATCTAACAATCTATACAAAATAATAATTATAACTAAAAATTAACCATACTGTATATATATGTATAGGCTTTGTAGCATTTGTTAGATATTATAGATAAGTAGTAGTAGGTACGTCATAATTAACATACTTTCTTCAATTTATGTTAGGAACACTTATGCTGTAGTTGAATACTTTAGATTGTCCAGAATACTAACCTACCCAGATCAATAATTCGGTTTCTATTAAGAGTGCAAGTAGTCTCCTGAAACTAATTTTCATATACAAAATTTTAGAATGCTGATTTACATATTTCCAATATTATAATTAATATCACAACTTACTACATGCCTAATCAGCATACCAGTGCATTAAGCTATCTCTACAGACTCCTGCTAATTGAACCAAACAATGCAACTGCATGAAAGATGAGAAAACAGATTAAGATATTTGCTGATGTATTAAATCTGGAAAATTTTCATATTAAAGATCCAGACATGAGAGGTCTAACAGAAACTCTAGCATCAATTTTTCCTTGAACTTGCAGAAAAATTAGATTGGAGATACATGAACAGCAGCTTTGACCAAAGCTTTAGAATCAAATTCTTCTCTCATTTCTTTAAGCTTTCAGTTTAGTAAGATTGGAGATGCAGGAGCAACAGCTTTGGCAAATGCTTTAGAATTAAATTCCTCTACCTCCCTTACTTTATTGGAATAAGATTGGGGATACAGAAGCAACAGCTTTGGCAAAAACTTTATAGTCAAATTTATCTCCGACTTCTTTGCACCTGAATAATAAGCTTTTAGAATCAAATGTTTTGTTACGGTCGGGAATCAAATTGGGTTGTGGGAGAGCGACTAAACTAATTAAACAATAATTGCCTCGATAATTAATTATGAACTCTCGTCCCATTATTCATGTAATTGATCAGCGGACAGCTTACTAGCTTGATCGAATCATATCTTGATTGTTTGATGACACTTCATTGTGGTAATAATAATATTTTTAATTACTCATTTTAATCCTTATAACTAGCAAAAAAGCAAATCCTATAATGGCGGAGTATATTAGATGACTATTAAAGCTTGTGTTAATGTATTTTATTTTTTCGCACTGGTAATTCTGGTTTTCCTTTTGGTGTATGTATTATTGAAAGCTCGTGCAATGTTCTTGGAGGAGAGGAGCAGATTGCCGCCTTTCCTCTCCCAGCACGGTTCTGCTCCCATGTCCAAGCTTCTAACTGCCTTACCGTTTCAGACATCTTCAGACCATATGCTGATAAAGCCATCATGACTCTTTCAACTGTTACGGTCGGGAATTAAATTGGGGATTTTGGAGAGCGATTTATCTTTTCGTGTAGGTGTGTTCGCCGACCGGGGGATGTTACCAGGCTTAGCTCGTACTATCGCCC